ATTTAGGCGGTTTTAGGGATTACACAAAGGAAATTTGGGATTTTTGAGATGTCGAAAAGTATTTTTAATTTCAATATAAAAATTACTTTTCACACAGACTATTCAAAACAAATACTCAATATATTCATGGACAAAACTTTATTTTATTTTATTAAAAGTACTTCACTAAGAAATATGACTTTTTGTATGTGAAAGACTTGTAATATTAACTGAAAGATTACCAAATTTCGTGAAGATATACCCAACATATAGAGAGTTATAAGTATTAAATTTATGTAAACTTTAAACGAGTACAGAAGGTCACGTGACTCGGTCAAACAGACCAACCCCGTGTCGGAAGGGTTAAGACACACAATGAAATCCTAGTGGTAGGAACTGGAAAAGGACTGGAGGGTGCTAGATGGGAAATAGTTACAGAAGAGGGATGGTAGCAGAATGAGACAAACAAGCAACCAAATAAGAAAGGTTTGAGTGTTGTTTCATACATTCCACAAGTGATTCCAAAGACTCAGGAATATCTCCAAATATAGACCAATGGAGAAAAGGAGCCATCTCCAGATCATGAAGATATGTGGAAGGTAGATGAAATGGTGACAAGACAGCATCTCTACCAAGGAGGACCCAACAGCAAAGAAACCATGTGTGAAGGGATAGGACCAAGGGGGACAATCTTGCCAATATGATTAATGAGGGAAAGGGTATCCTCCCTCAGGGGATCAGTGAAGTGCCTCAGAGAGGAGATGTATGGATGACAAGTACTGTAAGAGTAAGACGAAGTCAGGAAAACTGGGATTGGAACAAATGGATAGAATTATCAGGGCAAGCCCCCCACACTAGCAAAAGTTATTCCAGCTGCTGGGGGTCAAGAAAAGGTTGACTGGTCTGATAATAAGCCAAAGCATAATGATCAGAAGCCCTTGGAGGATGAGGGATGCTAGCCCCAGCCCTCAACTGAAAAATAAATGCTCAGCATGTACCCTGATGTCAAGGAATGGAGGGAAAACAAGGTATTCTAACAATGGGGTGACATGTAACAAGGAAAGAACAGAAACTGGGGAAAGAGATTAAATAGAACATACCTAGAAAATCATGTCCATAAAGTTCAATGGAAGCCTGGCAGACTCCACAGGAAAGGCATGATATGGTTAGGTGGAAGAAAAATACTCACTGTCACAAACAGGTTTGGTAGATTCAGGAGGAAGTCTAGCAAAATTGGGAGAAGGTCGACCTATATAACGAACATCCTCTTGACAAATGAAAGCCGAAAATTCCTCAGTCAAGTTCTCCCGACCTGAAGCCTGTGTAATTGTGCTGGAAGTAAGTGGTAGGACCACCAAAGTGATAACATGAACTTTGAATTCATCATGTAATGATGAGGAATTGAATTAAAACACAACAAGGTTATCTTGTAAAACTACAGAAAAACTGTATTAAGTGATAAGTTATTCACAAACAAAAAAAAATATTTTTTAGTGAAGTATTCTTAATGAAATAAAATAAAGATTTGTCCATTAATATATTGAACATTTGTTTTGAATAGTCTATGTGCAAAGCAATTTTCATGTTAAAACTAAAAATACTTTTCCTCATCTTAAAAATCTCAAATTTCCTTTATGTAATCCTTAAAACCTTCTAAATGAATTTCAAATGTTTTTTTCAGTAAAACTTTATACTTTATCTGTTATTTTCTCTACCCTATCTCAAAACGAGATTGATCAAATTGACCGTCCTCATAACCGCAAAAAAAAAATCAAAATAAAAATAAATTACCATTTTTTTTCTTTCTAAAATGACTTCAAATTGTAGCATGAAACTACATTCATTTATCACAATTAGCTCTAAGTTCGTAACAGTAGACATTATTTATAATTAAATTTTATTGTTTTATTCCCCTTTGAACCATGTCTAACTACTATCCATACCATTATAAGTTCTTAATCACTCGGAGAACATGCAGCTCACCTTATGCTCTTGAATTACATTACCCACGAGCTGTTCACGTGCATGCCTTGTGAACCATTTGAATTACTATTATTATTATTACTTATTTTACCTAATCTAGTCTTAGATAACTTAAAAAGATCAGAATTTTTAGATTTTAGTTACTTTTATGATAATAAAGAAAGAAT